TTTTTGCTTAGCATCTTGTTTATTTAGTTTTGGAATGTTTTTGAATTATAGCTGGTACTATATTTGGAAAATACACATGGGAAGATTGGGTATGTGTTTGGTGGCTTATAGTTTTTTGGAAACTGCTTTGAAAGGCAATGACACTAAGAAAAGCTGAAGAGGGATTAAAGTGCCTACCTCACTGTTTTGGCTGTTATGCTCTTCTCCTGCAGACTTCATGCTCAAGACTTTTGACCTGAGGGTAAAGAATCAAGACACGGATTGGATAAAGTATACTTAAATATTCATACTACAGGATGGTTATTTAACCTTCATACCAGCAAGGATCTTGGGAGACTTGAAGGTGTCCTTTAGGAGCGAGAACCTCCAAGTCCTGGAACACTGGATTCTAGGCTACAGTGTGTACTTGGCCTATTTAGGGGAAGTATGTAGTTGTGGTCTCTTGTTCTTGAACCCAAGATTCCAGAATATTTAATAAATAGATATATTTCTTGATTGAGTTAAAATTTAACTTACAAAGAGTGTCAAGAAATGGGGGTGAGGTTGTTGGCATTTAGACTCTTAAACTCAGGTAGTATTTTCTTGGAGGGGACTTTTCCTTGATCATTTCTAATTCTTATTTTTTATAATTCAATACAGTGTACAGTTCTGAGTTTCATACTAAGGTAGCTGTAATATGTGTCTAGATATTAGTTTTATGCCTTTCCCATATGGTTGGATTTCTGTTTTTGGCAGAAGAGAAGGTGATATTAGTTTTAAGGACTTTTCTGTGAAATATAAAGAATATGCTACTTATTAGGGTGCCTGACCACTAACCCTTTTTAAAGCATACGTTTCTGCGCTTAATAGATACCCAAATGATTGGCAATGTGATAAAATTATGGAGGGAGATGTGTTTCTGCAGTCTTCTAAAAAGGACGAAGACTGAAAATTTAAAGTTGGTGTCGTCTGGCAGGAGTCAAGCAGATCACTAACAGAGGGGAAGGAAATGTGGTGTTGGGGCTCACTCAGTTCTGGATAGGAGCTGGTATGAGAAATGTTCACTCTGACTTGGGCTGCGAAGGAGTTACCACCAAAACCAGGGTGTTCCTGTTTGCCAGTGCTTACACTTCTCTCTCGAGGAACCGAGTCTCTAGTTCTTCTTCCACCTTCCTCAGAGTTTCCTGGTACTTCTTAAAAGAGAAATAAAGGAAGCCACCATGACTGTTTAGAAGTTTTATGATTTTTTCAGCATAACAAGCTCTTGTCGTTACACTGTAGCATGGACGCCTGGTATCCCCACTCCTGCTTTCTCTCCTTTCATAGACCCTGTCCCACCACTGCCCCTGACCTCTCATCACGCCTCACCAGCAGGTAGCTTTCTGGGAATAACTGGGATTATAAAAAGCAGAAGTGCTCATTTTTAATTTAGAGCACAGAGATTGGGAGACCAGGGAAATAATTACTGGGGAGTCAAAGGACAATAGAGTGATATTGGTCTTGGGTTGCTGATGTCCTTAGTCTCTTGATAGGGCCACCTTGAAGTGAAATGATTCTAGACAGTATTCTCTGAAAAGTCCAGTTCTATTCCATTCTGTACTTAACAAAGCCTTTGCTACCCCTATACTGAGAAGCTGTACCTTTATGCAGAGGGCTTGATCCTCACAGAGCTGGCTCACAAATGCACAGTCCTTCATTATCTGGGAAACCAAAATTCGGTCTTAAATTTCTCTCAATAAATGGCCATAAGAACAAGAAAATACTTGTTTCTTTCTGTGTCCCAGATCCTAAATGTTGTGTCCTAATTGTTCTAAATATTGTTTTTCATGTACATATAAGCTCATTTCCTTTTTNTTTTTGAGGATAAACAAACCATATTTTGCAGTCCATCTGGGAATTATTTGGGGGGCAGTTGAGAGAGGAATAGATACTAATATGTGAAGGATACAGACTATAGAATGTATCCTGTAAAAAATGTTAAAAAGGTAACCTAGGGGATTGTATTCATCTTCCTTTTCTTTATCCCTTCCCCAGCCTCATGGTGGTCCTGGCTCTGGATCCTCATCATAATTCAATCATTTGAGGAATGTATTAGATTGTCTGACTGAGGTTCAAGTTTCCCTTTCTTGGGGAGAAGTAACATTGAAGTCCCTGTCATTACCTTGACCAGCTCCTTCTCTTGGTCTGCACAGGCAGCTTCCAGCTGTTGTAACTTAACCTATGGAAAGGAAAGGAGACCAGCAACGCAGCAAGGTGAAAACTGTGCGGGGATGGATACTGTCTTGAAACTTATCTCATAGGCTGTTGAAGAGCATCAGGACCATGATTTCAGATGTCTTTTTTCAGCTCTTTGTAGCTGCTTGGTAAACCTGCTCTTCTATTCTCTTGAACTCTTAGCATTCACGTGGTGCTGTCTTCACCTCTAAACATCAAGTCTTAGCTTCCTTCTCCTGCTTAACTATTTCT